AAACTTTAGATCTTCATTGCTTTAAATATTTTTATGAATTACGACAGCTAACTTAGATCACCTTACTATTGAAAATTAATAAATTTATTATTTTCAATAAAAACCAATCATGTAAAATAACCCCCTTTTATTTCATCTCAAAGGTGCCGTGTAGAATTATTTTAACCTCGATGTCAAACAAATAATAAAAAAAATGTAATACGACCTAAGTTCAACCTTTACTTGGAATTTGGTACACTCAGAATATTTAAATATTGTATATTTTTCAAAACGTGTAGATTTGAAATTTATAAGTCACTTTCTTTGAAAAAACATGTCAAAACGAATTTGGACCAAAAATGGCGTCTAATTTAACTCTAAATCAACCCCGAAAAATCAATAATTACTTCATGTAATGTAATAAAGATGGTGCTCCGATCGATAATATTTTGACTAGTATTTGATTATTTCCGTTTATATTATGTGTGTTTACGGGGGATATACGAGATGATAATACTGCCTCTGATACTGTTTATATGATACAATTGGAAACGACCTTTTTTCATCGGCACTCTTTTTTCGCCGGTGACCTTTTGACAGGCGCCTATTTGTTATATGATGTATGATTATCGGTTATTTATCAACTAAAAGTATAGGAAATTAGTACATTGTGAATGATAATATCATTTTAATGCTATATATTTTTGAAACTAGTTCAAAAGTTGCATTTAACGATACTCAATGTTTCATTTTACCGTCAGTTTTAGTTTGACATATCCGTCATTTTATGTTTACAAAGCTCAGTTTCTATTCGAAAGTAAGAGAAACAGTCAAAATAAAATGCGAAAAACACTTTTTATCAATTTCGTTTATGTCAACTGAAAGCGACAATTGCTGAAGACGTAACAAATAAATTAGGTCGAGAAATAAAAAAATCTATACTATAAGTAACATACCATATATTATACCTGTTAAAATAAATCAAAAATAAGAGAACATATCGTTGACGTATATACTTTTCCATCTGTGTTTAGTGATTACCAATTGCAAATTACGTATGAACATGCTTCTGCGCAAAAAAAACCATTATTTCAAGTACTTGTATCATTAAAGTCCATTAAATTATAATTTTTATAAATTTGCTAATCTTTGCACTTTAAGTTTCATTATATGGGGTATCCAGACAAAAATGCACACCATGTATGATTAGCAGTGCAGTCCAGAAGAACAAGTAAAATTGTCGTATTTTCGAACAATTTTCAACACAAAGTATAATTTGAGTTTCACAACACCGCGAACTGACGTGTGTTCCACGTGCCTTGAATTGGCTGAAAGAATCAAACGTTGCGAAGATGAAGAAGAAAAGAAAAAGCTTTCAACAGACAAAAAAAATTCACAAACTGAGAGCAGATGCTTTTTTCAATCTACTTAAAGAAGCTAGAGATGATGGTAACCATATCTTTCGATTGCGAGAAGAACTTAGTTCTACCAAAGGTGCCAGACCAAACAGCCTATTATTCAAGGCAGTTGTACCTCTACAACTTTACGATTGTAGAAGGTACATCAAAATCCAAGCTTAATCCAGAAAATGTTTTTTCGTACTACTGGACCGAAAATGAGTTCGCAAAAAGTTCCAATGAGGTTTCATCAGCTGTATATGATCAGTTTGGCCCTCACCATACCACGGTTAGGCTTATGGCAGATGGATGTAGCGGCCAAAACAAGAATAGCACTCTTATAGGGATGTGCTCCAAATGGCTAGCAAATAATGCCCCGTTAAATATTAAGAATTTGGAAGTCATCTTTCCCGTAGTGGGGCATTCCTTTCTTCCAGCAGACAGGGTGTTTGGTCACATCGAAAAGAACATTAAAAAACTGGAAGTAATAACCAAACCTGACACCTACATTGAAATCTTTTCAAAAATTGCGACTCCCATTCGTTTAGGTACAGACTGTACTGTTTACGACTGGAAAAAAAGCGTTAAAGAGGTACTGAAACCCCCAGGATCATGGCGCTTCCAATTTAAAAATACGAAACGATTTTATCTGAAGAGATGCCAGTCTGGAAATATTTTAATAAGAGGTGAAGTCCATTATAGGAGCGACTTGCAAACCTTTAAGGGATTCACAAAAAAAGGAAAACCAATTGGCATGATTAAACCAGATCTAATCAACGCCGGCCTGCCTCAGGTCAACAGTCTGAAGTTAAATGACGTGAACAAATTGCTGACCAAACACTTTGGCAAAAAGTGGAGAGATCTAGATGAACTGATGTTTTATAATGATATCGTTCCCAGCGAGGAAATGTTGGAGAGCCACACAGAAAATCCTGAAGAGTCGGAGGAAACCCAAGACAGAGAAGCTAATCAACTTGTTGATGATGAACCCTCTTGCGAATTCATTGCAGAGATTCCATCTGTATTGGTTTAATTTTTGATATTATTTTCTACTATGTTGTTACCTAAAGAAAAATACAGTTTTAGTTTAGCACTCACTTCGTCTTTCATTGCCTTTTTTCTCGAGTCTATTTATACATTTCGGTATCAAAACCGGCAATGTCCTACCTCTAGGAACAAAACCGGCAATCTCCATATTTTTGTATTATATTTTGGAAAAACCTTGTCAGTTCTAAGTAACAGAACTATTAGTTATTGTTCAGAATCGAGTAAACTACCGTTTTCAATAATCTCCAACTATCTAGCATAAATAATAAGGCAGCAGTAGTTATTCGTAAATATCTCTAAACTATGAAAGTGGGATATTGCCGGTTTTGATACTAGGCCCCTCAAATATCCTCGTTTTAAGGGTATGAACAGTTCAATTGTTATTAATTTTTATTTCATATTTTTCAGGTGCAGAAAATCCAACTGAGACTGAGGGTGCTATTATTACTGTTATTTATTACATAATGTAATTAAGACTTTGTATCTTTTATATTAAAACAATAAATTGAATATTTTATTAAGGAACATTTTTTTCTAGGTTATAATTATAATAATTATGGAATACTACTACAAGTTTTATTAAAAATTACTACAATTTGTATGAATTTCTACTATTTATTGTGTAAAATTTTCGTATTTATTTTCATAAAACGCAATACATTTTTAATATAAATTCATACAATGAATAGCAAAAATTATAACAATTTGTAGAACAATTCTTATGAGGCATTTGGATCTTTTTACTAAATATTGTAGATAATAACTCTACAATACATTCTCCACAAATATTTGGAAATTTTTACTACAAATTGTCCCTGTCCCTATATGTACTATTTATTGTAGAGAAAAAATCTATAATTGTAGAAATTTGTTCTACAATTTTTTTTCCGTGTAAATCCAGTAGTCAAATTTAATATGGGTTGGTTTAAGTTTTTAAATAACCAGAGATGATGGTTTACGATGTTTTTTCCAATCGTAATATCAAAAAAAAAAAAAAAATCACATTTGGATCCAACTTATTGACACACACTGTATAAAGCAGGTTTGAGAACGTACAAAACTATATTTTTTTTAATTCTTGTCAACTAACAAAAGTGCTTGTGCCTTAAAATCTTCCCGATTTTGTCCATGGAGAAAGATTTTGTCACTCAATAAATATCTTTAAAACCATTGTAAACATACATAGAACGGCAACGTCGTATTATCATTGGTTATCATATACAGGTATATTTGAGCAACGGTTCGTATTGTACTTTGAAATAATTTGACATGCCGTTTGCATTTCTAATTGGTCAACCAATAATTTGACATAAGACGTTTACTTTTCTGATTGGCAACCATTAGTTGTCGCCCAAGTTTCGATGCATATGTTAACTCAGCCGTGCATGTCGCATTGGTGGTGAACACGATGTACTAAAATGACATGATAATTAACGCGTCAATTTTAAAAATTGTGTCAAAATTTGCAAATTGAAATCATGCTTTTTGTAATAATTATTAGACCGACAGCCGAGTTATGATAACACAATCATAGGGAACACTAGTAGAATTATGCAGACGCGGCAAGTCCAAGATAAGGCCCCACCAAGATCTAGCGGCAACAAAACTAGTTCGTTGCCGGCATTTTCTAGCTTTTACATTTTAACTTTTGTATCATTAAGACCTAAAATAAAGTTCCGCTTTTTGTAAAGTTGTTGATATTTTTTAAAAAACTAATTTTTAATAGCGAACCTAAAAGTGCCGTCATATTGTAGGATAGTTAATAAAAAATCATAGAGAATTCATTGAAAATAATTTGCTTAATCATCCCTGCAATAAAATTTTTCAAGTTTTTAATGATAATTTGAAATTATGATTAGTTATTATCGAATATGTGTATATTCAATTCATTCTTACAACATTTCTGTTTATAATTATAACTCAATTTCCTTGTAATTTTTCTTTATTAATCTAAAAAGCATAGCACGTTGTAAAATGACAAAAACGGCCGCCATTTTTAGTCCATTTCCAAGCCTTAAAAGATTTTTTTTTATATTCCCTATTTAGAAAACCAAAAATAAAGCCACTTTAGGGGGTAGCCCCAAAAAAATTTTGAGGCACTTTTTACTTTGACCCCTCCCATTTCATCTCTCACAAGCCGCCACTGGGGTACAGAGATATTCTATGAAATGGATGAGGTACCTCTCAACTTCGACCGAACGGAAAGCGGTAAAACACCCTTATCGAAAAATGTTTTAAGAAACATCTATATTTCTCAAAACTATCCAAACTCACTTACATCACTTTTCTTGTAACAGGCTCAAATGTGCTGCTTAGGAAAAAATGTTTCAAACATAACCCCAAATGTTAGTTCGTATCAACGTTATGTGGCCAATAGAAGACCGCTATTGGTTTCAAATATTATTTATTCTATAAAATTAAGTACATTGCTTTCTTAATCAAACCCATATCCGAAAACAAACACTCATAAAATTAATTTCCTTAAATGGTTCAGTACACACATATTTAAATTAAATATTTTTATTTAAAAATTAAAAACAGTAATAACATGTAAAATAATGAAATATTCCAATGACCATTTTGTAAAATAAATGACACCTCAGTTTGTATTTTAAATAAAATCATTCAAATAAAAAGTTCAAAATTTTAATTACTAATTATGAAAGTCTTGTTCAAACAAATTAACAAAACAGTATTTAAGTCATATTGTTCCTGTCGTGAAAATAATGACTAGTTTTTACGTTTAATATTATTTATCTTCTTTTACCATGTGCCAACATTGCTATACATAAATAGATATGATGGGAACAATGTTCAACTGGTAAAAAAATAAACAAAATCTAAAATACCATTTTTGTGCAAAGAAACTTTATTAAAAAAAAAAATTAATAAAAAATTTGCTATAACAACGTCCTACCATTAAATCTTACATAATAATGTTGGCATATGATTAAAAAAAAAAACATTCAATATATGCTATTCACATTTTTATCACAAAGTGAACAATTATTTTCATATCATCCATCTAAAACCAAAATCTATAAAACAACTTTCTATAGAGCATAATTACTAATAGTAGCCCAACAGGCCCCATAACAAGGCCTAGGGCTGTGAATCTCGTCACCTTTTACCTTCTAGGCTGTAAACATTGACGCAACAATCGGAGGTTCCAGTAGCCAAAGCCACTTTGTGAGGGTGATAATTCAGGCACGTGACGGGTCCAATTTTGTGACTCATGAAACCCTCGTAGACTCGTATTGTATTGAGTAGTTTTCCTTTCAATGTGTAAATGCTGATGAATTGATTCATCGATCCGCTGAAAAATATAGTTTAACGTTAATGATGACAGGGTACATTTTCACACAATAAATTATCAGGCACTGATAAAAGGTTCACATATGTAAAATAGGGTGTTGGTAATTTGGATCTCAGCAGTTCATATATAAAATATGTAAATTTAAAATCCCTTTATATAAAACTCAAACTCAAACAAATAATGATTGAGAGTGAACCGTGTTGTCATATCTCAATTTTACCTTACTAGTTTTTAGCAGAATCAAAATAGAGTAAGTAGTAGAGTTGTAAGTTGTGGCAAATTATAGATAATATACAATCATAGTACTAATAAAAGATATTAATTATAACAAAAATCAGTAATGAGTAATACTTATACATTTCTTGATCATTTAAAATTAATTATTTTATGGATTGTTCAGTATTTGTTACAACTAATGACATCGGTGTACGGAGCGATATTTGTGTCTTTGTCTGTTACGCGTAAAATCCATCACGTCGATGACGTTCTCAGTAGTGTATTTCTAACCACGAGCGTAACATCGGGTTTTGAATTATACGGTGTGAATTGTAAGTTTTACAGTTAAGTTAGTAAGTAATCGACGTGTTGTAAGAACAATTGGTGAAAATATTAGTGCTAATAAGTGTTTAAACATTAAATAATAATATTTCTACACCGTTCTAAAACTATGCAAAAAATGGAAGACATTGAAGGGCCTTCAACGTCGAAAAAAGTAAAACGGTCGAAGTCTCGGTCGCTAAGTGAAAAACAAATTGTACTTCGAGTATTTCACTGTCTTGAAAGAGATCATCAGCGACCAAAAGATAACTTAGTGCATATGTGCTGTAATTCTACGGATGTACCTCCGAATAACCAACCGGGCGTTCCAACATCATTAACTTCCACAATTACAAAAGATAAATTAGTTGATATGTGCTCTGATTATACGGGTGTACGAAATCAGTTTACAAAATACTAAGAGAAAACAAAATTCATGGGGAACTACAAACGCCAAAAACTAGTAGCGGAAGAAAAAAAATCACAGTTGATGAAGAAGCCAAAAACAGTATACGCCCAACTATTCACAGTTTCTTTTTCAGAAATGAGCTGCCCACTTTGCAAAAAGTTCTGGAGGCAGTTAGCGATCATGAATTGGTCCCACAAATGAGTAAAGAAACTTTGAGGAAAATTTTACACGAAATGAAATTTACGTACGGAAAAGTCGACAGGAAAAGCATTCTCATTGAACGTCAGGAAATAATAGTATGGAGAAGAAATTATCTCCGAAAAATTGAGGAATTTCGGAATATCAAAAAAAAAAAAAATGTACTACATGGATGAGACGTGGGTTAACCAAGGACATACGGTCAAAAAAGTATGGCAGGATGGTCATATAACAAGTGCACGACAAGCCTTTATTGAAGGCTTGTCAACTGGGTTAAAACAGCCGTCTGGAAAAGGTAGTCGTCTGATAGTTACGCATATAGGAAGCGACAGTGGATTTTTACCAAATGGTGAATTAATATTTAAATCCAAGAAAACAGGCGACTATCACGAAGAGATGAATGCGGAGGTGTTTGAAAAATGGTTTGAAGGCATCATTCAACTTGTGGAACCTGGGTCTGTCGTCGTCATGGACAATGCCCCATATCATAGTCGGTATTTAGAATCATTACCGAAACAATCATGGAAAAAACGAGCAATTCAAGAATGGTTAATTAATAAAAACATCCAATATAAAAAAGATAGTTTAAAGGCAGAACTACTTCAGTTAACAAAATTACACAGAGACAAATATAAAAAATTCGCAGTGGATGAAATGGCGTTAAGTCGTGGAATTACAGTATTAAGGTTACCACCGTACCACTGCGAATTAAACCCAATAGAATTAATCTGGGCGCAAGTAAAAGGATATGAGGCACGAGAAAACAGAACATTTAAATTGGTGGACGTGCAACGTTACCTACAAGAAGCCATTCAAAATGTTTCTGCAGAAGACTGGAAGATATGCATTCAGCATGTTTTAAAAGAAGAGCAAAATGTGGGACGTAGACAACCGTATTGAACACAATATTGAACCAATCATAATTAACTTTGATGATAGCGGTAGCAGCAGTGACGAATCTGAGGTTGAAGATTAGAAGAAAATTTGTACACAAAAAGAAGTCTATATATTTAGGTATAATTTTTATTTTTACCATTCACTATTACCATTTAGAAATTATTATATAAATTTGTATTTTTAATTCCTGTACACAGACATGAACAATGTCTCAGCAGGATACAAATGTTTATTTATTTAATTATTATTATTATTATTGTATCAATTTATACATTGTTACATAAATTTGAAATAAACATTATTATTATTATTATGTTTGGCAGTTAAGAAAACATAATCCTGTAGGTTATATCCAAACTAATTATCTTACTTAGGGATTTCCGAAATGATAGGTGCGTGTAAACTTTTATGATTTAAGTACCAATCAAATAGTAATTTAAGCTTTATAATGTCTTTTAATGTTGGCCGAACCCAATTAGGGTTTCTTGGGTAAGGCTGGCTAGTTTCGAAGAACTGCAGGTAAACCGGGAGAGAGAAAGAGATATATATATATATATATATATATATATATATATATATATATATATATATATATATATATATATATATATATATTGTTATGTTATCAAAACACCCTGTGTTATAAAATAATAATAAAACTAATAATAATAATAATATAGTAATAAATAAAAATAATGTAAACAATTTTTGATAACCCTGTATAACAAAATAATGTAAAAAGTCTTAAGTGAAGCAGACGATGAGAAGTAGATAAAAAAGATTGGCTGCTAGATAAAGGAGGTGGTTGAAAAGTCAATTTTGAAAGATAGAAAAATTTTGGGAATTTTAAGAAAAGTCAAAAAAAAAATTTTAAATAGTTGTAAATTAAAAGATATAGCGAGATTAAATAAACAAACTATAAAAATGTAAATGTAAGAGGTAATAAAATATGTGAGAGGAGAAACAGCAGAGAAAAGAATACATACAAGAAAGGTGATAGGCGGCAAGAATAACCAGGACAGAATAGCGATACCCCCAGACTGCGAGAAGAATAGTGATACCCCAGACCGGAAGAAAACGGTATTTATAAACATTTTATTTTGTTAATGATTGAACTTCGATATAAATAGACATTCATAACTAGTTGTTTTTTAAAATTTAAAATTGTTATCATAATTATAGTTAATTTTAGTAATTCCTTATAAATCACCCAAATTATATAATAATTGGTGATTTTTTTTTTGTTTATATAATTTGTCTTGGACATTTATAATTTAGTTAGGTTAGTAGGGTAGACAATAGTTATGTTCATATAGTCCAGGTATTGGAATACCGGACATTTGTTCAATGCGCCCATATTGATTTTTTTGTTAGAATTAAATAATTCAATTTTGGAAAAGTTTGTTTATTTAAATCTTTAATTGTTAGGTATACAAGTATCAAATTTATCTAGGATCATCTTATATAAATAAACTAAATAAACTAAATAAACTAAATAAAATAAATAAACTAAATAAAATAAATAAACTAAATAAAATAAATAAACTAAATTAAATAATTAAATAAACTAAATAAACTAAATAAACTAAATAAACTAAATTAAATAAACTAAATAAATTAAGTTTATAAAGTATTTTATTTCTGGAACCGACACCACTGAGACAAAGAGAATCTGCTCTGTATATAAAAAAAAATTATATTAAAAAGCTAGCCGAGGTAAGATAAGTTTATGAAATTTTTTGTAACTTGTGAGGTTATGAAGTGTCAGTGTGTAAATCATAACAAAATATATATATATATATATATATATATATATATATATATATATATATATATATATATATATATATATATATATATATATATATATAGAGGTATGCTTTATTGTCATTGAAAAATTACAAAAATTTTATAGACAAAGCGAAGTAAATTAAAAACTAAATATAATATAAAAAGATTAAAAAATATAAAAATTTAAAAATAACTAAACAAAACAAAATAAAAATATCAATTGCATTGGATATCCAATATCCGTCATTATGATTTTAATTTAAAATTTAAGTAATACTTCTGTATGTGTAACCCAAGAAGAAACTTAAGAGACAGTTCCTTACTGACTTCGGCCGCGACATAATATATAAATATACGTTAATTTGTGAAATAAAGTTAAATTCATTATTAAAATAGTAAAATTGATAATATTGTTTCTGTCACCAAACCAACCCCTGATTAGGTATCTTTCTTATTTTTAATTTGAAATATATATTGTGATTTTTATTAATATTCTTAATTTATTTGGTTCCTACCACAATTATTACTCCGTTTTCATAAAGCCCCACTAATGACTACAACGATTAGGTAAATTACGATATTGCAAAGTTTTCATGAAATAAATAAAAGAAATTGTATATTTTAAATAATTGTACCCTCTCAAAAATAATAAGCACGCCTCCGATTTGGTCGTATTTCTACCTGCTTTCACTCTCAATCATTATTTGTTTGAGTTTAGATAGGTAAATTCGATCTCAACATCTCTTGACTACATGAACCTTTCTGTTTAGGTTGATACCTGCTGTAGGAAATCATTAGGAATAAGTATTACAAATCCATTTATTGACTATTTTAATTTGTTTATCCAAGAAGTTACCGGTACCGGATTTACAATATGCTTTCAGGTAAGACAGAAATAACCGGACCGAATTTACATGTTATTTTTGACCGTACATTTTTTCGGGGCCCAAGAACCCGTGAAATGTTAATTTTTTAGCTTATCCATATCCATTTTATAATATTTATGATATACACACTTAAATACTTAAAGCTGATTAACTAGTTTGCTAGATTATGGAGATCATAATCTAGCGACTTCTTTTAGAAAATAGAAAAAGTCAAGATTCTCTATTTCTCTTAAGAATTTATAAATGCGAATTTCTTTTAAAAAAAGCTTCTTGATCATTCT